GTGTGTGTGTGAGTGTGTGTGTGAGTGTGTGTGTGTGTGTGTGTGTATGTGTGTGTTTGTGTGTGTGTGTTTGTTACTCTCTTGTACCATCTCTAAACTTCAAAACTTATATGACCTTATTTTGTTGCAAGTGCCGTAAAACAAACATTGAAACTAAACTTATCTCACCTCCTTTTTTGAGTGTGTTTGTTACTCATCTCTTGTAGCAGTTCTAACCTCCGACACTTATTCGACCTTATTGTGTTATACGTGCCATAAAACACTTACTGTGGGTGGTTGGCGGGTGCTCAGGTGTGGTTTGCTCCTTCTTTCCTATCAAACATCTATTGTCCTTATCTCCCCTTCTTTTGTTATGTTTGTTACTCTCTTGTAACACCTCTAATCTTCTGGCGTTCATATGACCTTATGTAGTTTCTACTATTCTGGCCATTCGACCATGCTTGAAGATCGCTGTTTGGGGCATTTTAAAAAGAAAATACATAATAACTTTATTATCCATACATATATTTTAGTTCTGTTTCTTTATCGGAAACGTATCATTAATATAGGTGTCATTTGCACCCACATTGACACTAAACTAACTAAAAACACTTACTAAACGTAAAACAAACCGCCCTTCCACCACAGATCCGCAGTGAGGCAGCCCGGGCAGGCAAAGGCCCGGCCAAGGAGAGCATCTGGCAGTTCTTCGTGGACAAGTGCGCCAACAACCTGCATGTGGTTCTGGCCATGAGTCCTGTGGGCGACACGCTACGCACCCGGTGCCGGAACTTTCCAGGTTGGTCAAATTAGATTGTGAGACTTTGTGCTGGAAACAGGCCCTCGTCAACTTTGGGACACGTGGATTTATTGGTGTCATCCTAAAGCGTGTTTATTCGTCAATCTTTCGATGAAAAAAAAATACGCTTCAATATTGAATGAAAGACATTTGCGATGGAAGGGCGTGGAGTTGCCTGATTTCAGAGGAAAAAGTAAGGGAGAAAGTGGCCGACCAAGATTGGTGACTTCTATGTATTGAGAGTCCTTGTAAACTAAGAATTTACTTTTTTCTGGTCTGAAATCAACGCTCTTCAGTAAAATCCATATAGAATTGTGTTTTAAATGGATATAAAAGCTGGTGAGCTAACAAACAAAAATTCGACCAAAATTGCCAAACCGGCAGAAAAATGCAGATATCTACGATTTCAATATTTTGACTAGCGCCTGATTTCACTTCACTGCCTCACAAGTCATCGTTTTCAATGGAGGTGTTTTTACGTTCTTGTGAACACAATTTAGATCATTGGAAATGCAGGTTTCAGCCCTGCCTGGTAGGCCCACGATGTACTGAGAGGAAGTCAGTGTCACAGCAGAAAGATTGAGAGAGCCGATAAAAATTCTCCACACTTGGGAATCAAACTCAGGTCTTTTGCGTGACGTGTGATTTGGGTTTGTTACATTGATTTGCTAAAATCCACCTCTGTTAGAATGAGCCGGGCTTTTTTTTTCTAGACCGAGGTATCTTTCCGCTTCTTATTGTTCTGGCATGGTCCACTGTCCACTACATGTGGCATCGGTGGCCTAGTGGTTAGGCTCTCGGACTCGCAACCGTTAAGTCGTGGGTTCGAATCCCGTCAAGGGCCTGACGTTGTGTCCTTGGGAAAAGCACTTTACACGAGTTTTCCTCACTTCACCCAGGTGGGAATGGGTACCCGGCTATAGACAGCGAAAGATCTTGTCAGTATGTTAGTGTTTGAGCGCTTAATCAGCTGCTTGTACCGTATGCTTCCCGGGAAGCTGAGAATGTTTCGG